AGTCCTTGAACCTTTCTCAAGTTTCATGAAAACTCTCTAAATCAGCCTGCTGAAATGTGGAGATCTCGTGTCTTTAGTTACCTTCGACAATGAAAAGTATTTTGTGATGAACTTATGTATGAGATCATCATAGGTCCTAATGCTTCTCCCTAGTAGAGAATCCAACCAGCTTCTTGCTCTATCTCCAAGTGTATGTGGAAATAGCCTCAATTTGATTGCTTTATCGAATACTCCATGAAAATTATAGTTTTGGTAGATGTCCAAGAAGTGTGAGATATGATTATGTAGATTCTCACGGGACTTCCCATAAAAATATAAACTGTTCTGGAATAGTAGAATGATGTTCATCCTCAATTGAAAGTTCAATTGCCCAAATTCAAGATAAACAATGCTTAAATGGTTTAGCGAAACATGTGATGTAATGAATTGCTCGAGTGTCAAGTCATCTTCATCAATTTAAACCGGCAATTCAACATGTTCCAACTGCAATGCTATGTTATGTTTTGTTCTGCTATTGCTCAATTCTTCATTTGAAAATGTTCATGTTGTTACTCAAAACTGCCTGTTCAACATGTGATGCAATAAGTTCATGTTGTTGATCAATTCTCCATTTGAAAGTGTGTTAGATTTCTGGATCAAAGGGTGCGAGATCGCCCACTCTCGAACATTGCAAGTAAGGAAATATGAAAATGGAAAAAAAATGAACAATAGTTTAAATCAAAGCTAGAATTAATGAAAATAAACTAAAGCAAATAAAGTATTCCCCGACAATGGCACAAAAACCTTGTTACGTAATTCCACAAGTGTACGGTGTGCAAGTAATAAAATGGATATATGAGTCCAAATAGAATTAAGCAAAATGTACATCCTTGGTTGACACCAATGATGACATCCCCTAGGTGGAAGGAATCCAGGTAGTGATAGGATAAATGCGTTTAAAGTCAATGGTGTAGATTGCTGTTATATGAAAGAGTGTCAAACTTGTTATCAACCATGATGTATATGTAGCATGATGGGTTTGAATATCATTTCCACATAAACTAATATTTACCATCAATTTTCAAACTAAGCTAACTTCTATTTACGTTAAAATTGTAACCAATTATCAAATCAAAATGTATTTTGTAACTAAAGTTTTACTAAATTAAAAAGAAAATGCAATTCGTAGTTAGGATTTTCGATTTCACCTAGGTTGTTTATTTTTCATCTAACTTCAATTCATTCAACCTTTTTTATATGTGCTAACAATCAAATTAACGTATTGTAGCTAGTGATCTCTCTCGAGTAACACTAATCCTATTTATATGTACAAATGTACTACATTTTCTATGTAAATTTACACATATATGAACGCTTTAACCTACAAGAATTCTATATAGATAGCATAGCTTTAATATCTATGTTATTTATTGCACTAACTATAATCATACATTACCTCTCAGTTTCCTTACTATTGCCCTTCCTTGTGTAGTGTAAATCTCCTGGCTATTCAACGACAGAACGTGATTAATTTCAAAATTCTTGCAAAAAGTCTCGATGAATTTTTGTACAAAAAAACTAGAACTACTATTCTATTATCTTGAATTTACCGTATATTGCCTGCATCTGTCCCTTTTTAGTGTTCCGCTTTTGCCTTTTTGTTTGTTCTAAGTTTCAATTTGCCACTAGTTTTCTTTTTCAATAATTCTATTGGAAACCGCTATTTACATCCACCTTTGTTATATATCCATCTCATTCTATATCTATCTCTATTAAAATTTTAAAAAATTAATTTTTCTACCACATCACGTTCCAATATTGTCATTATTAAATTTATTTATTTTGACACTATATATCATTTAGTGATGGCCAATTATTCGTTCAACTCGATACTCACGAGCCTTGCCCCAAATGCAGTGAGAATTACCCACCTAAGGATAAATTGGGTGAGAGAAGGGATAAGATAGGAGTCGTTGTCTCAAAGCGAGTATGAGAAACATGGTCTCCACTCCACTATCCGTCATATTTAAAGTTAATTTCAAATTTAGGTTTTTTATCAAACAAAAAGAAAATATTTATCATCATTTTTTTAAGAAAACATAAGTTGTTTTTAACAAATTCGAAAATAATAGTAATATCCACTAACTAAAGATATAAAAGATAAAATCAAAAAATAAAATAAAAAATAAATGGGGAAGTAGACACCCCAACACACCCACCCTGCCCGACCCACTTTAACCAGGTATAGAAGTGGCACAAGATAATAAAAATACTCGACGAAACGGGGGACTGGAATGCCTAACAAATTCCGTTGCCACCCTAAGTTCCACACCACACACACACACACATACATACATACATATGTGTGTGTGTGTGTGTGTGTGTGTCAACAAACAAACTCAAATTCTTGTTTTGATAATTCTTGTAGAAAAGATAATCATCAATGTTTTCAATTCAAGAAAATGAAGAAAAGAAAATATAATTCTAACAATAATGCTAACAAAAGTCGTAGGAAACTTCCACTTGTTAAAACATTATTAAAAAAGATCCACAAATTAGAAAGTATTATATCTCCAACGTGCATTATGGGACATATCCTATACAATCCTTTGGATTCTATTCGGTCTATAATGTTCTAGTTTAAACAATTTTGATCGAACTTATATTTGCTCAATGGATACAATTAGCTCATGGAAAAACTTCATATCAGTTTGATATACTTTTATTTTCAACGAGCGGGCCCGCATTCAATGCGGGTCGAAGCATCTGATTTTTTTGGGAACTCTGGTTGCCCGGTTGGTTAAATACTATTAATGAAAATAGTAATTTATTATTCTTGTCAATAGGTCATGGAGACTTTTTGGTTTATCACGATACTTGATCTTGAAATTTGGAGATCTGTGACAAATCTAAATACTGTGAACTGTTCTGAAGAAAAAATCGAAAAAGAAATCACGTTTTATAAACTCACTGGGTGACATCTTTAATTTTTTGTAAAATTTTATTTTTTAGAAATTAGAGTTTCTTGATTTTTCCCTTGATTTGCCATATGCTATAACTTCCTGGAGACTAATCTTTGTCCAAATGCTTTTACGAGGTCTTGGGAATCAGAGATAAATCCAGTACGGGAGTGTATTTGAAAGATCTTGGAAGAGAAATCATTGGAACATAGATTTTTGTGATCTTTGTTCTTTAGTTTTCTTTTATTTCTTCTCTGCATGTTCTCTGATTGTGCATAAAAACTTGCTTAAATTGAAATCTTGTACTACTAAATGCTA